ATCTTCTTTTGCGGTGTGTTTGTTGGGATTAGATGAATTGTGGGTTTATGATTAGATTATTCATTTAAAGTAATTGAGTATTTCCTGAACTTTATTATGCATGATTGTTATAGCTTTATATTTCTCTATGATCTATCTGTTTGGTTTGGCCAACTAGAATGATTTATCTTTAGTGGGACAGGTGCTTTGTAATGGGTTCAATCTTGTGGTGTCCTCACCCAATGACAGAAGGGGTAGCGAGGCATGTATTATACTGTTGCTATTAAGGATAAAACGACGAGGTTTAGTCATATTGCTTGAGTTTACTTTGTCTAAATCATGTCATCCTGCTTAAGACGTTACTCTGTCTGTCATGAACTTAATACCATAGATGCATGTTGGATAGCAGTCGATTGGTGGAGTAATATTAGTAGATGTAGACAGGAGTCAGTCTACTTGTCATGGACGTGATGCCTATATACATGATCATTGCCATGTATACGCCTTCTATCAATTGTCCAACAGTAATTTGTTTACCCACTGTATGATATTGTTTTGAGAGAGAAGCCTCTAGTTAAAACTATGGCCCCTGGGTCTACTTTAATCATATTATAAAAACCAAAAATACCTTGCTGCAATTTATTTATTTTTATTTTGTTTTGCGATTTATCTATCTGCCTATACAAGATTTGATCCTTCCAAGTAACATTCAAGGGTATTGACAGTTGGGTGCAAGCATTTGCTTTTGTGTGTGACGTTCTTGCTCACTAGGATTTGGTTGGTACTCCTTCTGATTTGATAAACCTTGGTTCTCAATTGAGGGAAATACTTATCGCTACTATGTTGTTTCACCCTTCCTCTTCGGGGAAAATCCCAACGCCGCTCACAAGTAGCAGCAACCGACCATATGTGTGACCTAGGTACCCATGGTGCATATATAAGCCGAGGAGTTTAGTCCTTAGAGACACGATAACCAACCTTAGGGTTTAGAAAACAATCATACGATCTCGAGATTGATCACCTTGTACTATGTACCCCGTCACATCAATACAATCAAAGCAGGACACAGGGTTTTACCTCTCCGAGAGGGCCCAAACCTGGGTAAAACATCGTCTCCCTTTGTACCCTATTACCATTGTTCCTAGACCTACACCTCGGGACCCCCTACCCGAGATCCGCCGATTTAGGCCAGTAATTGTTGCGGCTGGCACTTTTGTGTCATTGTGTCATGTATCGTCTAGGTTGTTTTGTCGTGGTTCATGGCATGCTGTCATTTGTGAGGATGTAACGCCACCTTCTCGGGCAAGGCCAGTAATTGTTGCAGCTGGAACTTATGTGTCGTTGTGTCATGTGATGTCTAGGTTGCTTTGTCATGGTTCATGGCTTGCTAGCATTGGTGAGGATGTAACTCCACCTTCTCGGGCAAGGCCAATAATTATTGCAGCTGGCACTTTTGTGCCATTGTGTCATGTGCCGTCCAGGTTACTTTGTCGTGGTTCATGGCTTGCTGGCATTGCTGAGTATGTAACACCACCTTTTCGGGCAAGGCCAGTAATTTTTGCAGCCGGCATTTGTGTTGTTGTGTAATGTGCCGTCCAGGTTGTTTTATCATGCTTCATGGCTTGCTAGCATTGGTGAGGCTGTAACTTCACCTTCTCGGGCAAGGCCAATAATTGTTGCAGCTGGCACTTTTGTGTCCTTGTGTCATGTGCCGTCCAAGTTTCTTTGTTGTGCTTCATGGTTTGCTGGCATTGCAGGGATGTAACGCAACCTTCTCAGGCAAGGTCAGTATTGTTGCAGCTGGCATTGTTGTGTCGTTGTGTCATGTGCCGTCCAGGTTGCTTTGTCATGGTTCATGGCTTGCTGGCACTACTGAGGATGTAATGCCACCTTCTCAGGTAAGGCTAGTAATTTTTACAGTTGGCACTTTTTGTGTCATTGTGTCATGTGCCGTCCACGTAGCCTTGTCATGGTTCACATCTTGCTGGCATTGGTGAGGATGTAATGCCACCTTCTCGGGCAAGGCCAGCAATTGTTGCAGCTGGCACTTATGTGTCATTGTGTCATG